GCTTGGTCTTTAGTTTTCTATGTTGTGTCATCTGTGCTGTTGTTTGTCTGTTTGTCTTTTTATTTTTGGCCATGGCGTTGTCAGTTTGTTTTCGATCTGTGAGTTTGACTGTCCCTCTGGTATCTTTCGTCCCTCTTTTGGCACTCATATCTCATCTTCTTATTTCTATATACAAAGCACGTTTTTGAAAACCTAAATTGGCAACATGGCACCCACTATGATCCGGAGGATTTAAACGATTGCAGATATTGCACATAAGTCAAAAGGACAGCAGCCGAACGATAAAAATACCTCTAAGTTTTTTTTAAATAAAATTAGCAACAGACGGACTTCATCGATGGGCAAAAGTATACAAAATATGTTATAACGTTTAAACCCACTGCAATTGTTTGCACCTGTCCTAAGTCCTGATGTTCAGTAGTTGTCGTTTGTTGATTTGGTTCATAAGTGTTTCTCGTTTTTTTATAGATAAGACCGTTGGTTTTCCCGTTTGAATGGTTTTACACCAGTAATTTTTGGGGCCCTTTATAGCTTGCTGTTCGGTGGGAGCCAAGGCTCCGTTTTGAAGACCGTACTTTGACCTATATTGGTTTATTTTTATAAATTTTGACTTCGATGGAGAGTTGTCTCATTGGCACTCATACCACATCTTCTTATATCTAAGCTATTTACAGTCCCTGCTTTTTTATAACACAATTTTTTGAGAATACTGAATACTATGATGTACTTACTTTTAGATCAGGTCCTGGTAAAAAGTTTACACATCCAGTGCAGATAAGTCTGCGTCTGTCGTTACATCAATATTGCCGGGCAGCCTGTAATACCACAACAGGAACATGCTTGAAATTAAGCAGTGTTTCAGTGCCATGTTCTTTGTATTTTTCGAAGCAGCAATGTTTTTGGAATGGCATTATACAGGTTTAAAAGAGCTCAAAAGATTTTTATACTGGACAGTGGTCACGCAGTGAAATTAATGCACAGGTACAATGCATAACAATGGACAAAACCTGTTCAACTACTTTTACAAGTAGAAAAAGAAAGTTCAATCGTGAAGCCAGTAAACATTATTTTTTTAATCTGAGCATGCAAATTGAAGATTATGTTATATATTTTACGTTAAACACATTCGTTGAACAAAAACACTTATTATGAGAGTCCGAGACACTATATTAGTTGACAGTTTACCACTAATTCCACGTGTTTTTAAGTGGTGGTAAACTCGTAGTAGCCCACAATGCATTGTAGTTCATTGAGTCGATTGGTCAATTTTTCAAGGCCATGTTTACCTTCTATTTGGGAAATTACTATGCAAATATATTCTGACGTCAGGAAATTTAGAGTTCCCTACCTGTTAAGGGATTAAAATCGGGATAAGACAAAAAATGTTTGGCTTGCTCAAATATTTTTTGGAAGCCTAGCTAGCTAGCTGCCCCAACCTAAAACTTTCATATGCTTATAAAGTGGATTGAAACTTGTTAATAACTAAAAGCCATTTCTGGACAAGACACCATATTTATATGATATATTTGTGCGATATTTAATGGTCAATTTTATTAAAATTGGAGTTATCTTCCTTTGTCCATGATTATAGTTGAATCAACTACAATCAATGCTTTATACAATGCAATGTTTAATTTTGCCTTCCACTGATAAATTAAAGCAGTTTTTACCCTTCATTTCTAAAAGTATTTTAAAGTCTTCTTTGAAAATTGGAGTTATCTTTCTTTGTGCATAATGGTAGTTGAATCAACTTCAACCAATGCTTTATACAATGCAATATTCAATTTTACTTCCTACTGATAAATTAATTTGTTTCCGTTTTCTTACTTAAGTTTGCCTCAACCAAATGTTATGAAACTTATACACAATGCTTATTACTACATAATACAGATTAAGTACGAAATTTGGTGGCGACCCTTTTACCATTCTTGAGTTATGTCCCTTTATAAACATAAAAATTGCTGAATTTTTCGTTTCCGATCTCTTACTTTAGTTTGTCTCAACTAAATGTTATAAAACTTATACACAACTGTTCTAGAGTTATGCGTGTTTACAAATAGAAAAATTGCTGAATTTTTAGTTTCTGTTTTCTACTTAAGTTAGCCTCAACCAAATGTTATGAGACTTACACACAATGCTAATTACCACAAAACTCAGATCAAGTTCAAATTTGGGTAGCGTCTCTTTTACTGTTCTTCAGTTATGTCCCTTTATAACTATATGATGTGCAAGCAGGGGCATAATCTTAGCCAGTAATGTCACATTATATACCCTGTCTGTGACCTGAATAACATATAATATATTGATATTTCAATTTTAGACTCTGTCAGATTTTTTTTTTTTTTTTTTTAAATATTTGCAATTTAATGGTTTTGACAAGTATGGAAAGGGAAATCGTCAAACAGGTAATATATTTTTTTATATGCCATTAATAATAACTGGCTTAATAATTTCCAAAAAGAGGGCTTGTAAATGCACTTTCTCAACAAAAATTGAAGAAAAAAAGAACTTTTTTTTATCTAAATTGGTGTTCAAATCTTCATTAGAAAAAAAATACATTTCCTGTATTCAAATTTAAATGTACAAATACCTAATGCTGAGATATTTCCAATTACTGTTAAATAGCAATATAATGGGATAGAAATGTAGAACAAACAAATACATTTTATTGCAAAACATGCTCAGGTAAGAGTTATGCAATTCTGTTTATTGTTTCAACCAAATTTCTGATAATTGCAACTAATTAATTAGAACTTGATTGGTGACTTATGTCAGATGATAATGGCACTGATTTTACAAGTGAAATAAAATTTGCTTGCATTTTTTATACATTTTTTTTTCTTTTTTTGTCTTTTCTTTTAAAAAAAACCCATCTAATTAATCATTCAGCTAGCTAGCAAAATTAACAGAATATTTTAATGTAGTGTAGATCAAACATGTCAAACTAAATAATACATTTGTAAGTTTACTATTGAGGTCAAGAATGTGTGTATTCAGTTAGGTGTGTAATAAATTGTGTCTATTTAATTATGTAACAGGTCATGAGATATTAACTGTGGTGAAATAAGACTGGGGTTGTTTCCAATTAATACTTACACCTCTGAGTGTAATCAATTGAAAATCTTGACAGTTGATAATCATACTGACTCTTACCTGCCTATGGAGAGAATTGGAGTAATACTATTTCAAAAAAAGTGTGGGAATCAACTTAGATATATTAATACACATGTTGACTAAAATTTCATTGAACAATAACTTACACAAGCATAAGATACTAATATAATACTTGCAAAATTCTTATCAACCGATTCAATTGATGTACAAATACTTTTTCAAATTAATTCATAAATAGTAAATCATTATAAATTTTGTTTACAAAGGAACTATATGCAAGTGTATATCTAAAGTAAAAGGGTTGTTCGACCAATCTTTTCTTAATTTAAGGCCAAATAACATGTTAAAAGTTGGCAGTTGATGATTAAAATGGTGTAGAAAGTTTCTGCAAGTCATAAAACACATAATTAGTTTAATGATATGTCTTCAACTTAGTATTCTGTACCATCTCCAAAACCAGAGTGATCGCATAGATCCAGCATGGCTGAATCAAAAATAGAACATAGGGGTAAAATGTAGACTTTGGCTTATATCTCTGAAACTAAAGTATTTAGAGCAAATCTGACAGGGTAAAAATGTTCATAAGGTTAAGATCTATCTGCCCTGAAATTTTCAGACAAATCAGACAACCTGTAATTGGGTTGCTGCCCCTGAATTGTTAATTTTAAGGAAATTTTGCAATTTTTTGGTTATTATCTTCAATATTATTATAGATAGAGATAAACTGTAAACAGCAATAATGTTCAGCAAAGTAAGATCTACAAATAAGTCAACATGACCAAAATGGTCAATTGACCCCTTAAGGAGTTATTGCTCTTTATAGTCTATTTTTAACAATTTTTTGTAAATTTTTGTAATCTTTTACAAAAATCTTCTCCTCTGAAAATACTGAGACAAATTTAACCAAACTTGGCCACAATCATCATTAGGGTATCTAGTTTAAAAAATGTGTCCGATGACCCCGCCTACCAACCAACATGGCTAAAAATAGAAATAGAACATAGGGGTAAAATGCAAGATTTGTCTATTATTTTTTGAACCATTATAAATAGAAAAAATCTGAAAGGAGCAAAATTGGTCAGAATAATGAGCTCTACCAATTGTCCATATACGTCAAAACTGTTAGACAAATTCTTATAGGAGTTATTGCCCATAAATGACAAATTTTACCATTTTTTTCATTTTTGCCTGTTATCATAAAAACTATGATATTTAGAGAGAAACATTTTTTTTCCCATTATGCGTTATAGGATTTAAATCATAATAGATAAATAGACACTTTAAATCACAAAAATAATCAGCAAGGCAAGGTTTATTAAAATGTCAAATTTTGCCGATATAGTTAGTAGACTGTCAATCTTCATAGGAGTGATTGCCCTTAAATGAGGTTTTTTTTACCCTCTTTTATGTTTTGACCAAAAACTAAAGACGATAGAGAGAAACTAATCAGTAATACAAGATCAACAAAAAAGAGATTTTTATCATGAAGTCTATTCTCGTCTACAATGTCCTTTGTTTGATATGCACATAGAGCAAGATGAGCGACACAGGCTCTTTATATTAGAGCCTCTAGTTTTAAACCAGATACCCTAAGGAACATGCAGGTAAAGTTTAGTAACATTTAGCCCACCAATTTCAGTGGGGAAGTTTTTTTTTAATTTATGACAACATACGGATGAAGACGATAGACGCAAAGTGAAGCAAAAGCTCGCATGGCCTATTTGGCCAGGTGATCTAAAAAGGAAACAAAATGCTTAATACCATACCATCTGCTATTATTACTCACAGGGATATAAAACTATATAATATTTTGAACAAATTTTATCATTTTATGATATCTACTCAAACAATTAAGCACTAAATAATTTGACTAAAAATTTCTGCAGCCCCATGTGTTGATGGATCATGGTCGCCATGGGTAGACGAAAAAAATCCAACAACATATGCTCTTGGTGACAAGGAAAAATCTGCTCTTGAATACCAGAAAGCTTCAAGATTCTGCAGTGGAGGTACAATTCACAAGGTGGAATGTTGGAGTACAGATATTGGGGCTTTCCACTACTCAACAGGAGAAGTTATGAAATGCACACCAACAGATGGAGTAATCTGTAACAATGCAGATAATTTCCCATTGCCATGTACTAATTATAAGATCAGATACCAATGTACTTGCAGTAAGTATAAAAACAATTTCAAATTCTTTTCTTTTTCATCCTAAATTGTATTTCCCAATTTTGCTTATTTTGCTCAAACTTTATCAACAGTCAGGGAGTCCTCCAAAATAAACTGCAATTGTTGACCACATTGCTAAATTAGCATAACTTTATTTTTTCATTTAAGACTTCTAGTGATTATTGTAAAACCAACAAATAATCTTACTGTAAGACTTGCACTGTTTGTTCCATGTTGACTCTTAAGCTGTTCCAGAAAAAATGTTGCCCCTGGGGTTAAGATGACTGTTTCTCTGGTTGCATCTAGAACATATTCAAGCATTAAATTTGTGGGAGGTAATTTTATGAGTAGTGGAGATTCAGAAAATGTGACTACAAGATAGAATATACAGTAAAAAAGAAATTACATCTATCAAGATCAGAAGCAGAAACTCTTTTCACCCAAAAAATTGGGATCAAAGTTGATTGTAAGTCACACTGAAATGTTTATGACAAAAGTAATTTACCTACCCTTTAGTAAGGTTTTTGTGAAATGAGATGTAATCTTGTAATTTGCTTGCAGTCAGTTTAAAACTAACTAAAAATTTGTCATATTGCATAAGTTGGAATTAATAGGGTTTTTTTTTGCTTCATTTTTTTTTTGCTTCATTTTTTTTTCCTCAGTCCATAACACACCACAATTGGATACTGATAAAATACCATCTACAGCTGCAACCACAGTACCTACTGGACCTATGAACCCTGATACTTTACAAAATCATAGTAAGTAGTTTTAAAAATCAACGTCTGATTGTTTTTTGCAGGATTTTTTAATTTTCTGTTCTGCCTTGACAATATAAAGATCTTGTTGATGTCCCAACAATCAATTACAATTTACTAAGATTACTTCTAGAAATGAAAAAAACACTAAAGCTAGTTCCTACATTTTGTACTTTTATTTTTGTCAAATGTATATCCATTTTAATTCAACAATTATAGATTGATGAAAACCAATATTTTAATCCCAACAAACCTGGAATCATAAAATTTTTTTCATATTATGTATTTTAACATTTCCCCTCCTTTGATTAATTTGATTTTTAAAATAACAAAAAACTTTCAGAATTATACTACTGGTAACTATATCAGTTGTTTTGGTGACACAGGTTCTTAACTTATAAAACAAAAGAAGCAAATCAAGTGAAAAAGATATCTTAGATATCACTGGACTAGAATAATGTGAAAGTTTTTTTCTTTGATCAGATATATAATTATCATCATTCAGTATATGTTTAAATCATGAAATGGAAAAGAGAAAAGTTCATGTTTGGTTGAAAGTCTTTGTCGATAATTTTTTATTGTAATTTCATTTTTGAAAAGTCATACTTATTTACACAAATATGGAGACTTTTTGGAAAATACCACAAAGTAGTGATGTGACTAATTGAATGAACAAAAAACATTTAATAGTATAAACTGTAATTTGAACTGTTTAGTTGCTGAGTAAAGCATTGAATTATAAATAATTTTGTTGTCTTATTTTTAGCTCGACCACATAAAGATCAAACAACAACAGTCTCAGGTTCAGGTAATTCTTATATTAAATAGACATCTAATCATTGTAATTAATTGTTCAGTTAATCTGTGAATGTAAGAATTTGAAGGCTCCAGTGGAAAGGTTGCTTTTCTCTCAGATCCTGATACAACATTAGAGCTGTTGGGATGCAACATTTTTATACGACCGCAAAAATATTTGGTATCACGTCATCGTCGTCAGTGTTGTCCAAAGACATTTGGTTTTCGGACAATAACTTTAGTAAATGTAAATAGAAATCTATGAAATTTAAACACAAGGTTTATAACCACAAAAGGAAGGTTGGGATTGATTTTGGGGGTTATAGTCCTAACAGCTTAGGAATTAGGGGCCAAAAAGGGGCCCAAATAAGCATTTTTCTAGTTTCCAGGCTAAACTTCTGGAACGGTGTATGGATCTCTCTGAAATTATACCACAAGTTTCCATACCACAAAGGGATGGTTAGGATTGGCTTTGGGGGGTTATGGCTCAAACCGTTTAGGAATAAAGGGCAAAAAAGGGGGAAAAACAAGGGTTTCCTGGTTAATGGACAATTAAAAAAAAGTTCAATGTTATGTTTGGATTACCTCCCTTACACTGCTTTTAAATTATGTATAAAGAAATGTTGTATTGTCTTAAGGTGATTAGCTGTCAATTTATTTTTCGAAGTTACTATTTAAAAATGCTGATTAAGGAATATTAATTTTAGCCATGATTATGTATGTCATTTTCTATTTTAAGACTTTTATGATGTATTTAAATGGGTAATTATGGTTGCAAACTCCATTGGAAATTTGAATTGAGATTATGACCATATCTTGAGGGAAAGAATTTTGGAAAAGGGGGGGGGGAGGTGAAAAAAAAATTGGGGGGAGTTAAAAAAAGAAATTGTGAGGGGGGGGACAATTTTTTCTCATTTCAGATTTCAGAAATTAAAAAGAAAATTTCTTCAAATATTTTTTTTGGCAAAAAAAAGGGGGAGGGAGGTAAACATTGTGTCCAATTTTGCCCCAACTGTTCAGGGTTGGACCTCTGCAGTCGTATCCAACTGCGCTCAGCGAAGAAATTTATTTATTTTTTTTGCTGAAAATAACCTTTCCTTGTTTTTCTATGGTAGTCCATCACTTTCTTCTACTTTTTATCAACAAACCAAATTATTATACCCCACGCAACGAGTTGCGGAGGGTATAATGTTTTTGACCCTTCTGTCCGTCCGTCCGTCCGTCTGTCCGTCCGTCAATCCGTCAGTCCTATTTCTTGTCATCGCAACTCCTCTCAAACCACACAACAGAATTTCACGAAACCTTTTTAGATAATAAGGACATACTATTTAGTTGTGCATATCGACAGGAAATTACGATTCAATTTTTTTCCAGGAGTTACGCCCCTTTGAACTTATTTGCCCAATATACTACTGCAACCTTTTGTCATCGCAACTCCTCTCAAACCACACAACAGAATTTCATGAAACTGTGTAGATAAAAAGGACATACTATGTAGATGTGCATATTGACAGGAAATTATGATTCATTTTTTTTTCTGATGACCCTTCTGTCCGTCCGTCCGTCTGTCCGTCCGTCAGTCCGTCAATCCGTCAGTCCTATTTCTTGTCATCGCAACTCCTCTCAAACCACACAACAGAATTTCATGAAACCTTTTTCAGATAATAAGGACATACTACGTAGATGTGCGTATCGACAGGAAATTACGATTCAATTTTTTTCCAGGAGTTACGCCCCTTTGAACTTATTTGCCCAATATACTACTGCAACCTTTTGTCATCGCAACTCCTCTCAAACCACACAACAGAATTTCATGAAACCTTTTCAGATAATAAGGACATACTACGTAGATGTGCATATCTTCAGGAAATTACGATTCAATTTTTTTCCAGGAGTTACGCCCCTTTGAACTTATTTGCCCAATATACTACTGCAACCTTTTGTCATCGCAACTCCTCTCAAACCACACAACAGAATTTTATGAAACTGTGTAGATAATAAGGACATACTATGTAGATGTGCATATTGACAGGAAATTATGATTCAATTTTTTTTTCTGATACAATTTTTTTTTCTTACACTTATTTTATTTCTCCAATGACAATGTGGGGACGTGGGGTATGTGAGCGTGCTCACTAAGGTTCTTTCATTTATTGTATTATTTGTTCTCGTCCTGATTATGTATTTATTACAGTATATGTTTTGCTGGACATAAAACAAGCAATAAGCAATCATTGTGATTTAACCAATTATATAGAACAGCGTCATGAACATAAGCAATGTGTGGATCAACTGGAGTAACAGAACAAATAGTCCCATCAACTAAATAAGAGTATTGATAATAAGTAAATGTCTGTAGGAGCTATTTGTTCTGTATACTGCAGTTGAGCTATGCTTCTCTTATAAAGTTGAACAATCCACATTTTGATATAGAATCCACATCAAACTTTAGCATATATATTGTGTCCTGTGACTGTCTTATGAAAAAGTTGTTCATCATGTTCATGAATAATATGTTAAAAAAATATTTTTTATGCCCCTGCCGTAGCGGAGGGGGCATTAAGTTTTACCCTTGTCCGTCTGTACGTACGTACGTCCCAAAATTGGTTTGTGTTCTCTAACTTGAGTTTGCCTCTACCAAATGTTATGAAACTTATACACAATGCTAATTACCACAAAACACAGATCAAATTTGAATTTTGGTGGAGTCACTTTAACCGTTCTAGAGTTATGCCCCTTTATTAATGGAATAAAATGCTTCGCTGAGCGTAGCCTGATACGACCGCAGTGGTCGAACCCTGAACAGTTGGGGCAAATTTTGACACAATATTCAAGCTTGATACTATCTGAATTTGGATTGTGATCAAATTTTTGACATAATGTAGGTTTCTGACACAAAATAAATGTGGTCAAAGATCTTACAAATCTAATGCGCAATACTGTGCAATTGAAGATTTCTTCTTGAAACTTTTGAAAAAAATATATGAACCCTTTTAAAAAAAATTGAAAACCCCCCTTCCCCCCAAACTTTTTGAATTCCCCTTTTAGCATTAACCATCAAACTCAATTGCAGTCTTTCCTTTGTAGTATGGAACCTTGTAGTACAAATTTAGAGAGATCCATACACTTAATCACAAGTTACTGTCTGGAAACTAGAAAAATGCCTTTTTTTAACCATAAAAGCCCATTTAAATACATCATAAAAGTATTAAAATAGAAAATGACATCATAGTCATGGCTAAAATTAATAAACCTTCATCAGTAACTTTTAATAGTAATATCTAAAAATAAAATTCCTTCATCAGCATTTTAAAGTAACTTCTAAAAATAAATTGACAGCTAGGACTTTGCAACCATAAAACCCCATTTAAATACATCATAAAAGTATTAAAATAGAAAATGACATCATAATCATGCCTAAAATTAAAATACTTTCATCAGCAACATTAAATAGTAATATCTAAAAAATAAAATTCCTTCGCATACATAATCATGGCTAAAATTAAATATTTTTTAAAATAGAAAATGACATCATAATCATGCCTAAAATTAAAAAGCCTCCATCAGCAACATTATATAGTAATATTAAAAATAAAATTCCTTCACATACATAATCATGGCTATAATTAAATTACCTTTATTAACATTTTTAAAATAGTAACTTCTAAAAACAAATTGACAGCTAATCACCTAAAGACAATTTCTTTATAAATAATTTACAAGCAGTGTAAGGGAGGTAATTTGACAATATGTGTTTGAACTATCGCCCTTACACTGCTTTATAATTATGTTTTGTACTTAGGTAATTGTCCATTAACCTGGAAACCCTTGTTTTCCCCCCTTTTTTGCCCCTAATTCCTAAATAGTTTGAGTCATAACCCCCCAAAGCAAATTCTTACCATCCCTTTGTGATATGGTAACTTGTGGTATAATTTCAGAGAGATCCATACACCATTTCACAAGTTATTGTTTGGAAACTAGAAAAATGCTTATTTGGGCTTCATTTTGGCCCCTAATTCCTAAACTGTTAGGATCATAACCCCCAAAAGCAATCCCAACCTTCCTTTTGTGGTCATAAACCTTATGGTAAAATTTCATGAAAATCCATAGACTTAAACAAAAGTTATTGTGCGGAAACCAATGTGTCTTCAGACGATGACTACGTGATACCAATGTACGACCACAAAATTTTTGCGGTCGAATAAAAATTGCAAAATTTTTAGTTTCCGTTCTCTAACTTAAGTTTGCCTCAGCCAAATGTTATGAAACTTATACACAATGCTTATTACCACCAAATACAGATCAAGATTGAATTTTGGTAGTGTCACTCTAACCGTTCTAGAGTTATGCCCCTTTATAAATGGAAAAATTGCAAAAATTTTAGTTTCAGTTCTCTAACTTTGGTTTGCCTCAACCAAATATTATGAAACTTATGCACCATGCTTATTACCACAAAACACAGATCAAGTTTGAATTTTGGTAGGCGTCACTTTAACCGTTCTAGAGTTATGCCCCTTTATAAATGGAAAATTTGCAAAATTTTTAGTTTCCGTTCTCTAACTTAAGTTTGCCTCATCTAAATGTTATGAAACTTATACACAATGCTTATTATCACAAAACACAGATCAAGATTGAATTTTTGTATCGTCACTCTAACTGTTCTAGAGTTATGCCCCTTTATAAATGGAAAAATTGCAAAATTTTTAGTTTCCATTCTCTAACTTAAGTTTGCCTCAACCAAATTTTATGTAACATATACACAATGCTTATTACCACAAAATAAAGATCAAGTTTGAATTTTGGTAGGGTCACTTTAACCATTCTCGAGTTATGCCCCTTTATAAATGGAAAAAAAATGCAAAATTTTTAGTTTCCGTTCTCTAACTTAAGTTGCCTCAACCAAATGTTATGAAACTTATACACAATGCTTTTTACCACAAAACACGGATCAAGTTGAATTTTGGTAGCGTCACTTTAATCATTATCGAGTTATGCCCCTTTATAAATCGAAAAGTTGCAAAATTTTTAGTTTCCGTTCTGTAACTTGAAGTTTGACCCAACCAAACATTATGAAACCTATACACAATACTTATTACCTTAAAACTCAGATCAAGTACAAATTTAGGTAGCGTCACTTTTATCGTTCTTGAGTTATGTCCCTTTATAATGTTGTATGCAAGCGGGGGCATCATCTGTGTCCATGGGGACACATTCTCCATTTATTTTTTTTAAGAATTTGTATTGGTATAAATCTAAACCGAAATCTCATAGAATATAGGTTTTAAATGCTTAAACCAAATGTAGAATTTTCAGTAGTGTAGTTTTTGAAGTTTTTTGAAGTATGCCAGTAAGAACAGTAACCAGAAGGTCAGAAAGAAGATTAATTTGTTAAATTTTGGTCTACTGAACAATAGTTCATAACATTTGAGTGAAATAGCTAATAGATTTGGAACATGGTTTATTAAATGATTTTTTTCTGTTTCATTTCAGTACCATCAGCAGTGACAATATGGTCCAAATTTATATTCACTGTTTCCCTATCTACTTTATTTGAATGATTTACAAATATAGGGACAAACAAACAAATCTTTATACGCCATTTTACGGGACATGTTATGGTATACCGTTGTCCGTCGTCAACATGTTGTACAATAACTCAAAAACGCTTTAACCAATTTGCATTAAAAAAAGTGGATTTTCCAGTTCTCAGACAATAACTCAAAAATGCTTTGAGCAGTTTTCATGAAACTTTGCTGAATTGTTTATATCTATTGACGTGAGCTCCCTTTTGATTTTTATAAATTTTAGATTTTACTTTTCCGAGTTATGGGGTTTTATTCATTTAAAAAAGGTCATTTTCCAGTTTTCGGACAATAACTCAAAAATACTTTGAGTAGTTTTCATGAAACTTTGGTGACTGGTTTATATCTATTAGAATAACCTCCCTTTAGTTTTTTATAAATTTCTGATATGACATTGAGGGGCGTATCATGCGCTCATGGTGCAGCTGTTTATTTAATAAGCTAAAATATTTTTGTTCTAGCAATGGGTTCATATAGGTTTTTTTTGTCTTTTTTTTTGTGGAGGGGGTGGGTTTTTGAAAGCACATATTGTTTTAAGTATGTATAAGGTAATAATGTACTAAAATGCAAAATTTGAATTTGTTGTATTAGTTTAAAATGATTTTAAGTTTTTATCATTTTATCTTATTGATGAATTTTTATTTGTATTATTTGTTCTCGTCCTGATTATGTATTTATTACAGTATATGTTTTGCTGGACATAAAACAAGCAATAAGCAATTATTGTGATTTAACCAATTATATAGAACAGCATCATGAACAGGCAGATCGTAAATAGTAAACTTTAAAAGCATTTAGGAATCTGTGAAAAGAATGAAATTCATGCATATATGATACCAATCTCTTTTATTGTAGCATGCCGATCTGGATGGTCTCCTTATATTAATGAAAATCACCCAGACACTTATGCCCTTGGTGACAAGGAAAAATCTGCTCTTGAATACCAAAAAGCAACTCATTTCTGTGCTTATGGAAAGATTTCTACAGTAGAATGTTGGGATGTAGATATAGATGCAGCTCATTACTCATCAGGTGAAGTAATGACTTGTACTCCAGAAGGTGGTGTTGTGTGTAATAATGCTGATAACTTCCCTGCTCCATGTTCTGACTATAAGATTCGATACTTTTGTGAATGTGGTAAGTTAATGTTTTCTTGAAATAAACAAAACTTAATTAATTAATATTAAGATGATTCACACCTTTATTAACAGAAAAACATTTCAACTAAGAATAAATTTCCTAAATCTAGCTGTACTTTTTAGTCACCATCAACTTCGTGTTGAAGGGGACTTTAGGTTTGCACTCTGTCAGTCCGGCAAATCAGTTTTCTACACTTTTTTCTTTGTGCGTGAAAATATTGATTTGATATTTGGTATATAGTTTTACCATGACAAGTTAAAGATTAAATTCCAATTTTGTTTGGTTTGGATGATTATTTTGCAGAGTTATGGTCCTCTGACTTAGAAAATTCACGCAAATAATCAGTTTTCCACACTTTTTTTGTCATGCTTGAAGATATTGATTTGATATTTGTTATATACTTTACCCCATGACAAGTTATAGATCAAATTAGCATTTTGTTCCAGGATAATAAGTTTTTAACCGGTAGGAAACTATGTATTGCTATGCAATACTCTAAGAATGCTTGTTACTTTTTAAAGTTTAGAGAAAATGAAATGCTGATTGCTTCTGCTTCTATAATTAAGCAATGTGTGGATCAACTGGAGTAACGAAACAAATAGTCCCATCAACTAAATAAGAGTATTGATAATAAGTAAATGTCTGTAGGAACTATTTGTTCTGTATACTGCAGTTGAGCTATGCTTCTCTTATAAAGTTGAACAATCCACATTTTGATATAGAATACACATCAAACTTTAGCATTTATATTGTGTCCTGTGACTGTCTTATGAAAAAGTTGTTCATGAGTAATATGTTGAAAAAATATTTTTTGTTTTAAGAATTTGTATTGGTATAGATCTAAACCGAAATCTCATAGAATATGGGTTTTAAATGCTTAAACCAAATGTAGAATCTTCAGTAGTGCAGTTTTTGCACAGAATCATACACAAATAAACAAAAGTGATGAAAAGTAACTGAAATTGTATAAGTTTAAGATGTAAAGATTAAGGATTCATATTACAAGTGAAAATAGGTATGTTGTCCTTCCCCTCTCATAATATATTTTGAAATTTTGAAGTATGCCAGTAAGAACAGTGACCAGAAGGACAGAAAGAAGATTAATTTGTTAAATTTTGGTCTACTGAACAATAGTGCATAAAATTTGAGTGAAATAACTAGTAGATTTAGAACATGGTTTATTAAATGATTTTTTTCTGTTTCATTTCAGTACCATCAGCAGTGACCACAGCGTCTCCACAACCAGTATCTACTGCAACAACTCCAGGTAAGGAAAAGTTGGTTTATATCTTATATGATGTTCTTAAAGTAGACTAGAGAAAGCCTTTCAGGAACATTTTTTATCTGGATTGTATGGTCCAAATTTTTATTCACTGTTTCCCTATCTACTTTATTTGAATAATTTACAAATATAGGGACAATGTTGTATTAGTTTAAAATGATTTGAAGTTTATATCATGTTATCTTATTGATGAACTTTTATTTGGTAATAAGTATTTTCGCTTTAAACTAAAGTTTTAGTAAATTGAAAGACCTTTTGTCTGATCTTTAAAAAATGTCTTGTTATAATATTTGAAATTAGCTCTTGCGTATAGCTTCACCAATCAATCAATCAATTTGAATTATTAGAAAAAAGGATTTCATCATATCTTTCTAGCACCATGTAATCTGTCTAAATGTCAACCTATGGTGAAACCACTTCTGAAAGAAGGTGAAGAGTTGATGGTTGTCAAGACAACAGATGGATGCTGTGACAAATACACTGTTGTATGTAAACCTGAGAAATGTATAACTCGGCCACCAACTTGTACATCACCAAGAATTGTACAACAGACTAATGCTGGTGAATGCTGTCCACAATACAATTGTGGTAAGTCACTTATTGTTGATAAACAAGGCCATACAAAATTGGTATTTAAAAATTTTAAATAAACAATGTATTACCCATTTAATAGGAAACACAATTGATGCTGTTTTGTGGATATATTGGAAACAGCAATTATATTGGTTAAACCAATTGAAAACAATAATTGAATTTTCTCTTGCCTTAAAGCAATTTTTGCTGAGATAAAACTGCTCGATCTCTGGTTTCCCCCAATATGTACTAAATTTTCCAAGCACATACCTGCCAACGCTCCCGTTTTTTGGATATTTCAACCATGAATGACAAGTCAACAATAATTACGTTTTTGTGTCACTGATGGTTGTTTTTACCTGTAAATCACAGACCATGTGAAATTAAATGGCTTCACTTGACAGCTTGGGTGTCAAATATAGTACTAATTAACGATCATTAACGACTTTTGCTTCAAGCTTTGTGTTATACTTCATAGAAATTTCGGGTTACTTCCCCTGTTTAATCCTGTTTTAAGTTACTCTTCTTAAAATAATGTGAATTGATAAAACAATATAAACTAAATACAAATTAAACAAAGAATCATAAAAGGATGGCAATTAAAAGATTTTGTATGCCTTAAGACAAAAAAAAAATATTTTAAAAATATCTAAAAAGATCTATACTGCTATTCAATGTTTATATTGAAATTTATAAGGTATGTATTGAACCAAATTTAGTGGAATTTATAATTGTAAAAACTAATGCACCGTCTGAGACAACATGATTGCACTCTTTCATACAGAGGTATCTGGGGTGAAAAGTGGTCAAATGTCAAAGATAATGAAATAGGAAAGAAACAAACAACATTCCTTCTGTAGGATATAACCATATTTAAAGAAACAAAGTATATCTATTAACTCTTATATGTGTTTTGTAGATGAATAAATAAACACGTCATATATTTCACTTGAAAATGTCGTTCGCGCAAAATCTCCCCCTCAGCTTTCATAGCTAAGAGGGAGATCTCCCTCTTTGAAGGTTTCAGAGGTTGGCAGGTATGCAAGCATGATGTTATTGTTGTATATGTAGACATTCATATAAAAACAAATTGATGATGTGTATATTTAATTTTACAGAAAAATTAGTTCTTCACTCATGTTTTTTGTTTTTTTTTCTATTTTGACAGAATGTCCAAACACATGTCCAAAAATGGTAACGCCTGTATGCAAACCAGTAAGTTTTACATTTAATTAAGTTTGCTATTGAAAATTCCAGCACAACTGTTTGCAATAAGGCATTATTAAAAAAAAATTTGAAAAGTCATTATTTAAATTAGGACCAACTATTGGCCTTAACCTGACTTGTCTTTTAGGTTACAGTGGGTGTATATTTTTTATTCCAAATTCTGTGACAATTATTTTTATAACACTATCAAGGAGGATTCTGTTGAAAAAAGATCAATGATGAATCCGACATTCATATTGGAATTGTTGGAACAAGATATCAATTTGATAGCACTATTATACATGCATTATATTTTAGTTTGAATGTACTTTAGAATTTGTTTATGTCTGCTGTAAGATTATTATTTGAATTTTTTTTTAGCTGAACCAATGTAGACATTTTATATTTTTTCCTCCAAAGTCATTTGCCTTTTTTCACAATTGATAAATCAGTAAACTTTAATGTTTGTCATTTGATTTGTCTAGGATTCTCACTACACAGTGATTGATACAGAGTGTAATTGCCAAGCCTATGCATGTGGTAAGTTGTTGATTGGCATTTAAGTAATAAATAATAATTATGGAATAATGCCAGTTGCTGATCCAGGATTTTCAGACATATTCTCTACAGAGCAAATTAGAATTGATTTACCATAAGTGACCCCTATAATCTGTCTCTTTATATGAGAATAAGACCAGTGAAATTATAATGAAGACAAATGTGCAATTAAGCAAGGCAAAAAATGAAGTATGTGTAGTACCAAGTCATAAATTAAGGAGGGAAAACAGATACTTTGGAAGAGTAAGCATATCCTGAAATATGATTGACATATGATACTTTCTATCCAGTTGTCAAAGTTATAGAAGGGATACAATTGAAAGAGCTGGAAGCATTAATGAAAATGTATTTGGTGGGACTCTTAATGTTACATGGAACTTAAACACATATTATTCTTTGTTAAAATTAGTATGTTTTCAAAACAATAGATGTTGAAAATTTATTTTTAAAAACAAAAAAAACTTTTTTACATGTCTTTATCATGCATAAAAGTTGAATCTAGAAATTGCTTATTGTTTATTGGAAATTTATTTTTTTTAAGAAAATTATTGTTTTTAACACAATTTTTTTTTTTAAATTTTAGTCAAGAATATTATAAATGGAACCATGCCTCCTGTTGTAACAGTCAATCAAGTCTGTAAATATGCCATGAATGGACATGAGGTTGTCAAACATGTAAGTTACCATTTGTTTGTCTTGAAAGAAATTTATCAGAAAGCAGAAAAGGGAGGCTTGTTTTTGACATGAGATTCGGAAATATAGAGATTATCAAGTTATGTCTTTTTATACTCTGTTAGAGGTCAGAGTGAGTAGCGGTTTTTTATATGCAATGTAACTTTTTTCTGTTTTTGAAAAAAAAGAGTTTAACAGATAGTAATCACTATAGTTAAAGTTATTAATTTTTGATTTATAAGAAGTGTCTGTTGGAAAGCAGAATTATTAAGGCTTGTTCCAGAATGTATGCATTGTGGAACCATGGGAGGCACTTTTATAAAATTCATGTTACTAAGAATGGACCATGTAACTTATTATCCGTTTCAAAAATAGCGTTCATGGTTTCTGAGAAATAGGGTGGATACGTTTGTTGGGACAAGAAAATTGAAACAAATTACTATCTGTTTGAAAGTTATACTTCAGATGATTTGGTTTATAGACTGTAATGAATATCAGTACAACATGGTTGACATTTAATTAAAAGTGCTAATAAATTTATGAGGTCTGAATTTACATAAACATTATATCATTGATATTTCAATGTATTACTGTGAAAGTACTTTTATTCATGGGTATCAGTTTTTTGGTTTGAGCAAAAGTTGCATGTTCTTAAATTATTCAATTTGTGGATTTTAGTTTTCTGAAAAAAATTGAGGGAAAATTTTGAAGTCATCAGAAACGAAGATTCTTGAAAATACTAATTAGCCTCTGCATCTCACTGTGCCGAGTTGTTTTAGAGAAATGTATCAGTGTTACACATGTTATTGTTTTATCAATTTTCAATGATTTTTGAACATTTTAGAAAGTAACATTAAATGAGTTTGTTTTGCAGAATTGAATGCAGAATTGCACAGTATAAAATAAGTGACAGTGGATTATGAAATTATTTAGATATAGCAAATGAAAGTCGAAAAATTACGTTTTTATTTATTTGATTATTAAAAATATTTGTAAATCTCATTTAATTAGCAAAAAAAAGACAAATAATATATTTTATTATTTCATGACGAGCTGCTTCATGTCAACCCAGTTGACTTCATCCAATAATTTAAACCACGAGTGTGAATTTTCCTTGTAAATCGTTATCTTACTTTTCAATATTGTTGCCCTTGCTCCAACTCAAAAAAGTCTAGTATGCATCCGTTTGGTTCTTCAACTAATTTTTTTATGAAATCTTAATTAATAATTATAAACGTAAGTAATCTTTTATCTCTGTATTTTCTCCAACATCAAAGTTTAACTTCTTTTCAGAATCGAAAGCAAGACCATGTGTATCCTGGTTTCTACGTATCCTAAAACGGTGCTATTTTTTCGTCCTTTTCTAGATTATCCTCATCAAAACCTATAAATTCTTCGTCCGAATCATCTTTCAAAATCACGATTTTCATCTACAAATACTTCCATTGTTTCATACTCGAATGTAAACAAACTACGGGGTCAATTTTGTCATCAAAATTATTTTAGAATGGAATGTGGGAAGCAACCAATGAAAACATCTTTCTACAGGGAAATCTTTCTTCAGACATAATATCGACTTAAAATAAAAGTATCTGTGTGATTTGATTGGCTAGAACACGAAACATTTACCTTATATAGAAAGTCAATATAGCGATGACCGGCACTGAATGAACCTACCGGAAGTTATCAATATATCGACGACCGGCAGTACAGTACAGTTAAATGGGCCATCACTATATCGATGTCCTGCAGTGACTAGGGTTAATAATGATTTATGGGACATTGCAAAATAAGGTGTACATTTTCACTAGTTTATTTTTCATTACTGTCATCGTTCATCAAATTTTTGATAAAATAATTGCTTTTGGAAATAAGCTGATTCATCTATGCTTACAAATTGTCTTGATTGAAGAAAATTGCAAAGTAAACATTTTAATTGTAATACACATGTAATCTGAAGTGATGACACTAATTAACCTGAGATCAAAAGATCAACAGATTAACGATCATCAGAGGTGTTAATTGTGCCATAAACATGTCACTTAGAGAAAAAGGTTACATAAAAAAATGCTACAAATGTACTTTTGATTTGTAGAATTAATTCTTATGAAATAAAAAAGCAAGCCCAATATGAAATTATTATTTTTTTTTGTCTTGAGAATCATGAGGAGATAAAATGACCACTTTCATATCATCACCAGAAGTCTGACGTTCATTGATCAAAACTTATTTTCCATGAGAATTAAAAGGTTAAAAATAGTAGTCTAGGTTTTTAAAGATTAAATGGGTTAAATCCTGTCTGAAGTTGTATATATAGTTCATAGTGTGTTTGCTGATATTCGATGTATTCTCTAGATGATATGCACATATCCATGTAGTCAAACCTACATTGAGATCTTTCCTTGTCTTTATTTGGACAACAGTTGTAATATTTTGTTTGACACTTAAATTAGTGGATAAAGCCATCCATGAAAACTGGTACCCCACAAATAAAAGTACTTTCACAGTAACTGGATATAAGTGTATTTATATTATCCATGGAAATAACATGACCCCATTATATATGTTGTGCTGATCGCAATTTCAGCCTGGAGATATCTGGCAAGATGGACACTGTAAGTCTTGTCAGTGTATGAACAGAACAGATGGAACAGTAGAAACTTCATGCCGTACACAGACCTGCCCATCATGTAAACTGGTATGTCCATAATATGATAAGTAATTAGAACCTGGCAGTTTCATGTGTTTTCATGGACATATCTATACTTTTAGAACATGGGGCATAAAGAAATTGCTATCTCAAAGTCTCTAATTTTATAATAGAAAAACAAGGATATGGGGTATCCATCCATGACACAAAAACAGTACATGCACAGCAAAAAAAAACAAACAAAAAGCAAAGGAACAGCTCTTTTGTTGCTGTTCTTCATCTCAAAGTCACAGTGAGGCCTTCAACACGGAGCAAAAAAACTCTCACCTTTTATACCCATTTCGGCAAAATCTATTGAAAAAAGTGAATCTGACAAATAAACTCAGTTTGATTTGCTCTTGCATATTGGCATTTAAATATTTAAGTGATTTTATGAAATATCTTCTAGTCTTTCCTTACTCTCAATCAAATCTATATATTTTCTGAAGAGAAGCCACTCTTCTTTTATGACCAGTTTCCTTGTATTTTGAAATGTAATTCAACCCATCATTATAGATTTCTCTCTAATTAATGTTAATTTCCATCTGCTGAAGGGTGTCTTTATGAAAGGAGAACTACTGTATACTGTAAAATTTTGCTCCAAATTCTAAATACAAATTAATTTTTACAGGGAGAAGTACATGTAGATTTACCTGGTGAATGTTGTGGTCAATGTAAACCCAGTGGTTGTGTTGTGAGCGGAACTGTATATAAGGTAAAGTGACATCAATTCCCTTTTTTTTAGACAAAAGAGGAGAACTTTAACTACCTTAAAGTTTGTTATTCCTGTTTTTTCTATGAAATTCTTTCTCAGCAGAGTATAATTATTCAGATTTCAACAAAAGGAGAAAACTTCTCATTGCAAAAATTATAACTTTCAGTTTCAATCAACACAAACATTGAGAATTATAAAATTGTAAGGATGAGTAGAAAGTAGTACTTATTTAATCATTCCGTCAAACATGTGATGACACATACAATTTTTTGACTGCATTTAATGTAAAGTGAAATCTTTAAAGGATATTTGTTTATGAATTTTTAGGATGGACAACATATGCCAATTGACAAGAAATGTTACACAAGAACCTGCACTTACATGCCAGACTTTCAACAGTATGCCTTACAAGATACCTTTATTAGGTGTCCAACAACAGATCTACCTGCCTGCTCTGGTGTAAGTATGTTGTTGGTTTTCAGACATTTCACAGTACTTATTAAAAAGGAAGGCGAAAGATACCAAAGGGACATTCAAACTCATAAGTCGAAAATAAAATGACAACGCCATGGCTAAAAAAGAAAAAGACCAACAGTACACAAAACACAACATAGAAAACTAAAGACTTAGCAACACAACCCCACCTAAAACTTGGGGTGATCTCAGGTGCTCCTTACGGGTAAGCAGACCCTGCTCCACATGTGACACCTGTCATGTCACTTCTATAAAATACGTTGATAAGTTATATAAAGTGATTAGACATCATGCAATAGTGGATTGGTAATTGATTCTTATCTAACCTTAAGACATCACCAAATTCTAGACCATCAGTCACGTAAAATTTTCTAACCCTGACACTTGACTGAATGTGAAACTTTTAAAATGAAATAGGTTTTTTATGACAAAGGGTAGACAAGACTGTTACTGGTATAAACAACACAACCATTTTAAAAATTAAAAAGCATAAAGAACAATACTTAAAAGTTAGAGTACCGTTAAAAGGCTTGTAAAGTTCGCGGTTTTATTCTCCAAAATTGACCCGACAGCAGGGGTGCGGACTATAGAGTACAATAAGCAAGAAATAAGAGAGAAAATTTCAATTTCGCGATGTGGTTTGTTTACGTTCCGCCATGTTTGTTATTGACATTGTAGAGGGCGCTCTTATCATTTTTCAAACCAATAACTTTACCCAATCCATATTAATCAGTTATTTTTATTCAATATTAAATTAATACTGATAAATTTAAAAATTTAATGCTTCGTTACAAAATTCTCGTTTCTTTTCAAAGCATTGCTAAATATAAACTGGTGTCTACTTGAATGAAATCTTACAAAAAAAGTAAAAAAAGACAACCGTAAACCAGCTTATGATGTGTAAACTACAAAACGTAATCGGTTATTATTCATTCCGTTTTGGTGTTTCCTATTGACAAATATGTTTTGTATTAGATTAAGACCCTTCAAATATTAATGTGATAGATATATTAAACACTGTTTTACTTAAGGAGGGAACTGTTTTACTTTCAAAGTCGTATTATAGTGATATCTATTATGTATGGATTTCGACTCTCACTGGGTTTTTTCATCTTTTACACGTGCTTTTCAAACTTCCAGTTTAAACATACACAAGTTTCTAAATTGTTTTTTGTGTGATTTAGACTTATTTTAACCAGCGTGAAGTGTTTTAGAACCATTTACAAGCAGTTTCAGCTTCTGTTTTGTGATTGAAAATAGGTTTTTCCAAGAAAATACCGCAAACAACCACACACGATTTAAAATTACCGGAGTTTCATTAGACCTTTTCTAACAGTTACAAAAAGTTTTTTTACCTGAAATTTCGTGGGGAGAAGGGGGTGCGGACTATGTACCAGTGCGAACTAAACAAGCCCGATTACGGTAACCTTTATTTTGATTTTAACGCCAGTCTTGAGACAGGACATATTATGGTATACTGTTGTCTGTCCTTCATCAACACTTTGGACAATAACTCTAAAAACACTTTCACCAATTTTCATGAAAATAATGAAGGATTTTCCAGTTTTTCTGACTACAAGTCAAAAATGCTTTGAAATGTTCGTGAAACTGGTGAATTGTTTATATATATTGACATAAGTTCCCTTTTGATTTTTGAAAATTTCTGATTTTTTGTTGAGGAGTATTGGGACTTCATTCATAAAAAAGGGGGGATTTTCCAGTTGTTGTACAATAACTCAAAAATGTTTGAGCAGTTTTCATGAAACTTTGGTGACTTGTTTATATGTACTGAAAAAAGCTCTGTTTTGTTATCTATAAATTTCTGATATGACATTGCAGAGTTATGTAACTTTATTCATTGAAAATGTTTTGAAAACTGTCCATTTTTCACACTGTTGACAGTTATAGAATTTTATTCATTCAAAAATTGTGCCAAATTATTTATGTTTTGTGTCAATGGGTACCACTGTGTGCACATGTCTTTTTTTTTTGGGGGGGGGGGGTGTCTATTTAAGCAACGCTCACAGTTTTTCTAGCTGATCATATAAATTCATTTAGAGCATAAAAACGATCTAAAATGCGACAGGGTATCATGTGCTCATGGCACAGCTCTTTATTTTATTTTTCTGTGGTTTTATTAGATTACATAATCCATGAATATTTGGTACTTTATGAATAATTACACTTCCACAGTATCAACTATAATATTAGTCTTTTAATACAAAATGAACACACAATCTCCACTGCATTGTTTCGGTTAAATCATGTGCAGTCATGGTTTGAATATAACCTGGAAGTTTGAAATATTCTCTTTACTGTTTATGTTGTCATATGCTTTTTTATGCCCTGCCTACAATAGTATGGGAGCATTATGTTCACTAGTCTGTGGGTTTACCCATCCTGTATCACTGTCAGGTTAAAGTTTTGAAAGCAGGTAGGTTACATCAACCTTTGATTATTATTTGTACAAATGTTCATTTTGGTGAAGTGTTTTGTAAAATATATGCCAGATTTTGTAGTTCACTTCACATTGAAAAAAGGAGTCAGAAGATACCAAGGGTTAATCAAAGTTCAAAAGTCAAAGAGAAACAGACAAACCATGGCAAAAAACAGAAAGACAAACGTGTTTCAGTCCACAAAACACTAATAAGAAACCTTAAGATTAAAACAAACAAAAAAAAACCCAAGCAAAAAACGGGTAGTGATCTTGGATATGTTGAAATGTGGTAGTGTGAGCGGGGCATGGTGTCCAGTTGACACATATTCTTGTTTTTTTTTTGTTGAGCCTGCAACATTTATGTCGCAAAAGTGAGATATAGCAATCCTCAATTCCATTGTCAGCGTCAGCATTTAGGTTCAGTTTGTGGATAAAGTTTTTTTAGACATCAAAAACCTTGTCATGCCAATTTAATGAAATTTGGACAGAAGCATGTTTATGACATAATACAGTATCTAGAGTAAAAATTTTGAAAATATTTATTTTCATTTTTAGCTCACCTGGCCCAAAGGGCCAAGTGAGCTTTTCTCATCACTTGGCGTCTGTCGTCCGTCATCTGTCGTCCGTCGTCCGTTAACTTTTACAAAAATCTTCTCCTCTGAAACTACTTGGCCAAATTTAACCAAACGTAGCCACAATCATCATTGGGGTATCTAGTTTAAAAAATGTGTCCGGTGACCCGGCCAACCAACCAAGATGGCCGCCATGGCTAAAAATAGAACATAGGGGTAAAATGTAGATTTTGGCTATATCTCTGAAACCAAAGCATTTAGAGCAAATCTGATGAGGAGTAAAATTGTTTATCAGGTCAAGATCTATCTACCCGTTGTTGGGTTGCTGCCCCTGAATTGGTAATTTTAAGGAAATTTTGCTGTTTTTGGTTATTATCTTGAATATTATTATAGATAGAGATAAACTGTAAACAGCAATTATGTTCAGCAAGTAAGATCTACAAATAAGTCAACTTGACCAAAATGGTCAGTTGACCCCTTAAGGCGTTATTGCCCTTTATAGTCAATTTTTAACCATTTTTCGTAAATTTTTGTAATCTTTTACAAAAATCTTCTCCTCTGAAACTACTAAAACAAATTTAACCAAACTTGTCCACAATTATCATTAGGGTATGTAGTTTAAAAAATGTGTCCGATGACCCCGCCCGCGAACCAAGATGGCCGACATGGCTAAAAAATAGTACATAGGGTAATATGCAATTTTTGGCTCATATCTCTGAAACCAAAGCATTTAGAGCAAATTTGACAAGGATAAAATTGTTCATTAGGTCAAGATCTATCTGCCCTGAAATTTTCAGACCAATCAGGCAACACGTTGTTGGGTTGCTGCCCCTGAATTGGTAATTTTAAGAAAATTTTGCAACTTTTGGTTATTATCTTGAATATTATTATAGATAGAGATAAACTGTAGACAGCAATAATGTACAGCAAAGTAAGATCTACAAATAAGTCAACATGACCAAAATTGTCATAAATTTTGTAAATTTTTACAAAATATTTTACACTGTAACTACTGGGCCATGTTCATTAATGATTATAGATAGAGATAAATGTAAGCAGCAAGAATGTTCAGTAAAGTAAGATCTACAAACACATCACCATCACCAAAACACAATTTTGTCATGAATCCATCTGTGTCCTTTGTTTAATATGCACATAGACCAAGGTGAGCGACACAGGCTCTTTAGAGCCTCTAGTTATGTATTAATGATAAATGGACTAAGTTTTTTACAGTTAACATTCAGATTTAGTCTGAGGTTAAAGTTTTTCAGTCATCAAAAACTTTGTCAAACCTTCATGGAATTTTATGAAATTTGGACAGAAGCTTGTTTATGACCAAAATACAGTATCAAGAGCATATTATAATTTTGACAATAGTAATTTTCATTTTTCTGTATTATACTGATAAATGGACTTAGTTTTTGTGATACGATTGCTGTCAAGCAATCTGTAGACTTTTAGGGTTTACTCCTTTCCAAGGCTCTCATGTCAACCGTTTTGTGCTTTATATTTAGGAACAACTCAGATCCCAAAGATTGTTGTGTTTTAAAGAGTAAAACAAACAAACAGGTTGAATTAAACAACTTTCTGGTCATTTTCTTCTGATAATCGTCATATCTCCTTTTTTTAATTAGAGTTTATTTTTCGATATGGAAATCAGTATTAAGCAGTATCTATATTTAGGGTTTCATATATTTAGCAACACATCAGACTGGGAATTCCCCTGTTTTGTTAAAATGCAAGAGACATGTTGTCCTCAATCAAAACATAATTCTAACGGTTTGTTTATGTAATTAAGCACATGCATAGTTTTCTTGACCTTTAGAGGCATGAGAATATATGGTTGCTCTGGATTCCCCATGCCATAGATTGATTTGCAACTCAAAAGGTCCTTTCTGTGTTTTTATACAACGGAAAAAAAAATTTGCAGTGGTATATTGGTATCACGTCGTCGTTGTCCGAAGACATTTGGTTTA